GAACAGCTTTTAGTACCTGCCTTTGATCCCTCCAACTCACATGGGAGCTCACCACCACAGTGTTCAGCCTGCAAGGTTCCTGAAGGGTGACCAGCAAGAAAGGCTGAATACTGTGTTGTGAGCTGCTGATTTCAGAATTCACTTTTTGCATTGCTTTTTTCTCCATTCTTCCTTCTGTTTTTTCTAAATGGTTTTGTCACATAGTTCTCCAGGCTTAATTCATTTGCGCTTGCTCTTTTGCCCTTGTGGAACAATAAATATGTTTTCCTTCAGCTGTGGTAGTTTTTTATATAAAACACTTAATAAAAAATCATGTGTACCCTTACTGCAAAGTGCAGGCTGCTATAAAACAGGCAACAAAATAACGATTAAGACAATAGCCATAAACCAAAGAGTGGAAGCACAACCCCTGCACTTTAAAAATGGATTCAATTTACAGAAAGCAAGCGTGCGTGAAACAAACCCCCACATAGAGAACCCACTCCTTAAGCTCAAGCAAACTATGAAACTGTTACATACAGTGAAAGTGAATGGAGGAAGCTTTGACAAACTCCACACAACATAAAAAGTTAGTCCCTATCCCCATGGTAGGGACAATTGGAAGCTCTCATAATCAGGGATCCAGGTTTTCTGTTTCTCACAGAAAAATCACAATTTTTCCCCTTTTAAGGAGAAAAACCTGAGAAATCATGGTTTTCCCTGTGCAGGCTGGCAGAGTTCCAGTCTGCAAGGGACTGCCTGGGGCTGGGGGGAGCAGAAGGAGCATGATCAAAGATAGGGAGCACCACATATACATGCACACACACACATGCACATGGCAGCCAGGCAGTGTGGTAGAGAGCAGCTCCCCACAAATAAGTCTGATGGGGTGAGGGGAGCATATAAGCAATATGTGTGGAAGATAGGTGAAATGTCAGGGGGGTAGGGTGGAACCTAAGCAACATGTCAGAGAGGTGTGGGAGGCATGTGACCCCCTAGATTTCTGTGCCCACAACAGGGCATGGGGCTGCAGCCTAGCTGGACTGGCACTGGGCAGGAGCTGCCTCCGTGGCCCAGTGGGTGGGACATGGCACAGAAGAGTGCCATGCCTCCATGGCCACAAAGGTGAGGCACCCCCTGCCTGTCCAGCAGCAGTGGAGGGACACAACCATTTGCCACTTCAGCACCTCACCTTGGTGGCCATGGCATTACAGATGACATGGGTCTCCGGGCACCAGTGGTGGTGTCGGCATGGAGTTATGACCCTCCAACACTAGGTCCCACCCACTGGGCTGCAGAGGTAGCTTCTGGCTGCAGCCCCATGCCCAGCTGTGGGAGGATGCACAGTGCCACAAAGTTGCGGGGGGAGAGCAGCCTGAATCCTGGTGAGCAAAGGGGGAGAGGAGCTCTGATTTTCCATGATAAAAAAATGGGCCTATGCAAATAGGGAAGTAGTTGATTCAGATTCAGCAGATTCAAAGGACAGTGATTTGATTCAGAGATTCAGATCACTGTCCCAAATCAATTCAGCCAAATCAGCTTTGGAAGATTCGGTGCTGATTCGGAGAGATTCGGTGATTTGGCCATAGACTATAATGGGGAATCACTGAAATACCTATAATTTGTCCTTTTTTGGCAGATTTGGATGAAAACAGCAGGGATTGTAGCCCCTTCTGAGGGCATGAAGCCTGCCAAGCTTCAAGGAGATAGGTGCAGGGGTTTCTGGGAAACTGCACCTCAAGCTGCTGAAAGCAAAAGCAATGTCACTTGTGTGATGTGTGTTAAGGCAGATTTGGATGAAAACAGCAGGGATGGTAGCCTGTAACAGGGGGCCTTCCTGGTCCCGATTAGATCGCCACCCGCCTACCTGTTTCTGGACCAGCCGCCCACCCCTCTTTTGTTCAGGCAGAAACAGCTCACAAAAGGGACAGAAAGGCTGCAGACAGAGACTTATTGCTGTTTCTACGTCCCTTCCCCAGTGCACTGTGATTGGAAGAGGACTCAGGGAAAGATCACAGTCACTGGCCAGCTACAGATGTCAGTCTTTCCCCCTCCTGCTCCCCCTCCCTCTTCTCAGTTTCTCTTCCCCTGAAAGACTGCCTTCTGAATCTCCGAATCTTTTCCAAATTGATTCGGAGGCTCCAAATCGATTCAGAGGGGGTTTTCTGTCTCCCGATTCAATTCAGATTCAGTGATTCAACGTCCAAATCGGGCTGAATCTTCTCTGAATTGAATTGGCAACCGAAGCTTTGCACATCCCTATAAAAAAACAAAATCAAATGCCAAAATATATAGGTATTTAGAATTAATTTTGTTATAATGATTGTGGCACTGGTAAGCTTCCAAATTGTTTTAAAATTGTAAATATATCAATAAAACATTGTGTTCAACTGTTACCTCTGTGTGTGTGTGTGTGTGTGTGTGTGTGTGTGTGTGTGATATACATGGCAATTGTCATTTTGGACAAAGGCATCCTGCTGGCTGTTCAGTCTCCTGAAAGTCTCTGTGCCTCTTCTCCCGAACCCTCAGCAGGACTCTCTCCCTTTCTCTCACAAGCACTGTACAGCATACCAGACCCAATTCTAATTAAAGGAGATATTACACAGCAGCCTCTAGTTTCCCCTTCAACAGTCACCTTTTGGTCTCAAATTTACACTGTCATTATTCCGCAGCTGCTAAGGCGTGTCCTGCATCCCAAATGTCTGATAAAGGCTTCATCAGGCAGAACAATAGTGGGCAGTCTGGGTTTCCTAGAACAACAGATGGAAATGCTAACACCACTGATGTACTGCACGATGGCCAGTGGAAATAAATCTGTCCTTTTTCATTAAATAAGAGACATGAGCTCCTAAGAGGCCTGCCATCCAAACTTTTCAAGGCATCCTTCTATTACCATTCTGGAAGCTACTGGTGACTTAGCTCAGGCCTTAGGACTTTTTTACACGTGCAATCGCCCAGCGCTGCGATGCATGCAGTTATATAAGCAGCAAAATGCATTTCAGCGCAAAGAAAATGTCAGTGGCGTGCATTTCAAAATGCACTGCCACCATTTTCTGCACACTGACGTGCATTTCACCACTTATACAACTGCTTGCAGCTCAGGGCAGTGCACATCAGATCTCATGCAGAGCAGACTCAATTAATAGAGTCTGCTCCAAAGTAGCGGATCTCCAGCATGTTGCGGGACAGAAAGGTATGCGTATAAATGCCCTTAGAGCACAGAGGTCACAAAATAGGAATATGGTTTCTATCAGTTGTCTCAGTGTTGTAGGGGAACTCTTTGCTTATGAAGCTGTCGGTAATTGTGTCAGCATTTGGCAGACTGTATAACATGCAACTTCCAGTGCACACTTCTTGAACAACACAAAGCAGTCAGTCTACTCTCACCATATTGCTTAGCTACTGATGAATAGCAGTTGGAGCTGGCAAGCTTCCAGATGGCAAAGACCACATGCTTTTGAACAAAGATGGAAGCCATTTCCATTGCTGTGTTGATGCTGTAGCTATAGTGTGAGCTTTCTTCAGGGTAACAGGGTAGTTCTATACAGAGGATGGTGCTACATCCTGGGCTGCTTCCAAAAGCGATCCAGCCAGCAGCCATTTGCCAGCTGTGTCAACAGCTATTTTGCACACACTCCCCAGCTACCTCAGGTGCCTGCCCTTAGTTACACTACAGGGGTTGGCAACATGCAACCCGAAGGCCAGGTATGGCAATGGAGCAATTTGATCTGGCACATGAACCTGGGACTTTGGCAGCAGGTGCTTTCCCTATGTCACTGTAAAGAAAAGTGGTTAGAGTTTTTCCCATGCTGCTGCAGGGAGGAGCAGCAGCAGCAGCAGCTGGATCCTAGTGGCTACCCACCCTCCACCTCTGACGTGAGGTGATCATTTCAGCCTACAGCATGCAATGACTGCTAACCACTGCTCTGAAAATGTGCTCTTCCATCAGGCCATGCTTGTTTCATGGTTTCAGATATGAGAAAGTGAAACTGTTGCAAGAAAATTTTCTTCAGGGGCAGCTGGTCCATCTTGTCATCCTCCTTCTTTGTTCCCACCATGCACTTACAGGCAGGCAAGTAACTGTACCTGCCAAAACCAGAGCCAAAGCTGCTCAGTAGCATGGTAGTTCACTTAAAATGCTACAGCTGTCTGGCAGTGACAGGTCAAATATGCTGTTGATTATTAAATCTTGCTGAGTATACTCAGCCAACTTTTATCATTAAAATCCATCAGCCAAACCAACAGCATTGTACTACATTGCAACTTGACAGACCCTTACTTAATAGAATCAGTTGGGTATTAGCATCAGAATCTGAAACTGTGTTCTCTGTATGCAAGTTTTTCCCCCCACCATCTATCAGAATCAAATCTGTTTGCATGCATTCATCTGTAGCATCTTGAGCACTGAATGAAGTATGTGAACACATGATAAAAGGCTGTGTCCAGTTATGTGCTGTAGGCTTTTATACATCATACACTGTTGGTCATGAGTATAATGAAGTGCAATTTGTGATCAAGTGAGTCATTGTGGCAAAGCCTCTAGTGTAAAACACAATTATGCCAGCATGTTGGCAAAATGACCTTTATTCTGTATAGCTTATTTTATTTATGGGGTTCTCAGTTAGGTTGTACTGGCAAAAATACAATGCTGCCTTTCTAAGTGGGGGCCACGTGGTGTAGCTGTTTCATGAAAATCATCCAAGGACACACCTGGGCTTAGTCATAACACACGTCCGGTTGGGCTAAATTAAAATAATATGAGCAACCTTAATTGTGGGATTTCTTATCCTCTAAGAGCTTGACCTTGATCTTGCAGCCTTAATAAATTCTGTACGTGTGTGTGTGTGTGTGTGTGTGTAAGAAAGACAGAAAGAGAGAGAGATAATATGGTGTATATGTAATATGTTGTGTGTGTGTGTGTGTGTGTGTGTGTATATATATATATATATATATATAAATGAATCTATGTATCCATATTACGTATGTATCTAAAAGGCTGTATGTTTGTTCTTTTTGTACAGCTCCATCCAGTAGAAAACCAGGTGACCCTCTCGTTATTTCTGATATCAAGAAAGGAAGTGTTGCTCACAGGTGAGAACTCTCAACTTGCAGCAAAATTCTGTTGCCTCCAGCTTGTATTTCATTTAACTTCTGCACATGTGGAAAGTATTATAAGTGTTCATCTCTCAAGCTTACAAATCAACCGAATGATTTTATGGGAAGAATAAATATGTTTTTAATCTCCAGTAGTTTAGACTGACTGTTTCCCATACACAAGCCTACTTCAATTTTAAAATCATTAAAAGGACAAGTTTGAATGGTGCCTTAATGTACTGTTAAAATTGTACTAAAAATGACCATGTAATATTGTTTATTTGTTAACAGAACTGGAACACTAGAGCTTGGTGATAAACTGCTTGCCATAGACAATATTCGACTGGATAACTGCTCCATGGAAGATGCTGTTCAGATCCTTCAACACTGTGAAGACCTTGTAAAGCTAAAGATCCGCAAAGATGAAGATAACTCTGGTATTACAGTTCTTGCACTTACAAATATTTTAGAGCATAGAATTGTTGTTTAATAGGTAGATTGCAGTTAAGGACTTTTGTTAAATGTTGCTTACATTTATTAATGACAATTAAAAATGTCAGAGTAAGTTAAACATAAGGGGTTGTCCAATCTGAAATTATCTCCATGGCAGTGTTGCCAACAGGGACTTTTTTTTGTAATAGAAGCTAGACGATATTTCAGTGAGATGCTTTCCCATCATAATGTTGATTTTGCTCTTATGTGGCTAGCTAAGTCTTCTCTCTCTCAGATTCTGAGAATCATGCATAGGGTGGCTTCTTCTATCCCATGAATTGCCAACAGCCCTGTTCATGATCCAGCAGTACAGTTAAGAGTGTATTTAATCTTAAATCTATAATTTTGGCTTCTGTAGGGCTCATATGCCCAAAGTTAAACAGATTCTTAGATACTTTGCAGGTTCAGCCCATAAAGGTGAACTGAAATAAATACCACTTGGTACACCAGTTCCTGCTCCCAGGTCACATGCTCCATAGAAATGCATTCTCAAGTGTGACCTCCTGGTTTAACTGTTTCCCAGAACAGGGCTAACAGTGAAATCATGACCCCACTGAATCCAACAGGACTTTTGTAATGGACTTTAGTGGAGCCAAATTTTCACCCTAGATTTGCACAGAGGCAGCATCTGTTGCCTTTTGAGGGACATGTGCCTCTGTTGGTGGTGATCACTTTAGTCTGAACAGGACCCTTACTTACACAGGTCACTTTCACAAATGAATGTTTCTTAATTGTATAGCTGAATTATACAGTACTTATACTGGGGTTCATTTATTTTAGCTTCACATTAAATTATATGTCTTTCTGCACAACAGATACCAGTGTAATTGAAGCTACCCCCATTTAGGTTCTCAGCCAGACTATAGAAATAGTGAAGTCAATTTTCCATATAGATTATACTCATAAAAACAATTGAATGAGTGCCAGCTTATACATAGTGATTAAAAATTTTACAAAGTAACTCTCAAACTCTGCTGGGACTAAAATGAAAATGAATTAAAATGATGGTGACAAAATATTTTTTTAAAGCTGACATTAACTTAAATTCATTTTAAGTAACTTGTTACTTATATTTACCTAGTTCTATTTTCTGAACACAGGCAATATGGAGCAGCCATACTCCTTTAAACTCAGTAAAATACACCATTAAGAAGTCCCCAATGAGAACTAAAGCATCATGTTTATAAATAAGTAGACATGGGGATACCAAAGCAACTTCTAAAACCTGAGCAGTTTCTGGACACTACAACCTTTGATACCATTTTTAGATTCTTCTCTTAATCCATCCTTTAGTCCTGTTCTTTTCTGTATGTTTTCTATTTTTGTCATTTTTGCCCTATTTCCCCCTCAAGTAGCCTGTCTCTTTCTAATTTGTGTTTTCTCTCTTTCATTTCATATGTTTTTTAATCCATTTCCATACCCTCTGCCTGGCTTCCTTTATTTTAACTTTTTCTCCCTTTCTTTGTCCTCCTTTAGAGCTCTCTTATTCCCCCCTCCATCAAGCGATATTATATCTTTCAAAATATTTTCCTGGCTTCTACTTCTCTCCTCAAAGCCAACACAAGTGCTGAGGTCAGGAATGGAGTAGTTCCTTCCAATAGGGTTCTCTAGTACTGTTCCTCATTTACACAGGAGCCTGGATATAGCAGGTAACACTTCGCTTAGCAGAGTCCAGAGAACAATACTAGAGGTAGTACAGTATTAGGAGCTTACTTGCGGAAAGGTAACAGTTCTGCACTCTGTGTGTGGCAATGGCATTGGCTCACAGGAGGGCAGCAGCTGGGCTGGGAGCAGCTGACAGCTGTGGTCTCTTCTAGTTTTGTGCTCCCCCTGCAAGTACATCAGTACCCAGGGCTGCTGCCAATGCCGCCTCCCCCCTTATCCCCTCCCCCCGAGTTGTGCTATTGATTACTAGGGCTGTACAAAGCTTCAGTCCCTGATTCAGTTTGGTGGAGATTCGGTCCGATTCAGTGGCCGAATCTCCAAATCTGAATCAAATCAGGAGACCCTTTAATGTCTCATAATTGAATTGGAACCCTCTGAATCGATTCAGAAAGATTCGGTGATTCAGACATAGACACAGCTTTAAATGTTTTTTATACATATCTCAAGGTATCAGGTGGCTTGTGAATGGTGCAATGCTGGGGTGGATTGAGCGTCCCACAGGAGCATGGGGGGCTCCCCAGCGCACTCAGCAGCAGACCTGGAAGTGGACCAGAAGTACTTCCAGTCCACTTCTGGGTCTGCCAGGGAGCACACCAGGGGGCCCCCTGCACTCTCCCAGCTCAGTGACTGGTGCCTCCTGGGTCTTGGGGCAGGGGTACCTGGGGTCCCCCTGTGGCTGATCACCAAGCCGGGGAGGGCACAGAGGGGCCCCCCACGCTCCTGTGGGACACTCCACCTGCCCCAGCATCACATCCTTCACAAGCCATGCCTGGTACCTTGAGGTACGTAGAAAAAACATTTAAAGATGTGTCCATGGCCAAATCACTGATTCTCTGAATCAGCATCGAATCTTCAGATTCAGAGTTGGCCGAATCTAACCAGGAACAATGATCCGAATCAACGAATCGAATCACTGTCTCCGACTTGGGCTGAATCGAAATCGAATACGGCCCATTTCACACACCCCTACTGCTTACTTGTATCAAATGAAAAAGCAGAGACCTAAATACTGAGATGTATTGCAATAATTGCATTAGCAAGAGGGAAGCAGTATGGGAACATTTCACCAGGCTCTGAGGAAGCCCCAGTATGTGTTATGTAAATTTTATTAAGTGCCTTCTCCAAGGGAAAACTTTCATGAGCAGAAGGGAAACAATCTCATAGTTTCCTGCCAACTTCTCCCCCAGAGAAGGTAATTCCATCACCTTATTGACCTGATCCTCACGACCCAGAAATTTTTTTTAAATGTAGGTCTTCCATTAGACAGTCAAAGCAGCTGCCATTGTGTATTTAGACCAAACATTTTTCATGTTATTAAATAGTTAGCCTTCATGTCTCCTGGAAATAGCATTAAAGGTAAGTAATACTGCAATTGTGTGTGTGTTCTGTTCTGTCATTTATTTCCTTAACTAGTGCTGAGGAGAAGAAACAAATAGAGCCTGGCTTCCTTTTTTTCCTGTTCCCTAATCATTGTAAACTTCCTGTTGTAGCGGGAAAATAGTTTATTTCATGAATGATGTCTACTAATTTTTGCTATAACTTTTGATATTACTGTTGATAACTAGACACTTCAATATTTGATTAATCAATGGCAACCAACATTAAACACTGCCCACTGCATTTTTCAGGTCAACTCCCCCACACTTTTCTTTTTTAAATCATATAGTTCACTTGCTATACTGAAGGAAGGCTATGTTGATATAGCTTTATTAAACCTGGGATCTCAAAACACTTAAATAATAATTCTCCCAAAGCGCAGACAAACAGCCCTTTCTGCTGTTTACAGTTTTGTGCTAACTCAGCACATGACCCTCAGTCACTTCTTGCTGAATCTTAGGTTTTAGTTATTTGTTTTTAGAGCAATTTTCTGGCAAGTGAGATGGGTGGGGGGCATAGAATCCATTTAACACAGTGGTCACCAATGTTTTCCAGCAGCGGGCAGGAATGACCCAGCTCAGGTCTGAGGTAGGTCAGCACTAAGCCCACTCACCACCGCTGGTTCTCCCTGCCACCCAACCACAGTCAAGGCATAGGCAAATTTCCCTGCCACCCAGCCACGACGCAGTGTCGTATGACACAAGCAAGATCCTCACTGCCGAATGCTAGCAAACACTGCAGGCCAGATTCAGCTTACAGGCTATAGGTTGTCAACCGCTGATTCAACAGGCGTTCTGGATAAGTTTCGAATGTATGTGCCACATATGAAAGGCGCAGTGAGTACAGGTTTCTGTTTCTTCTCCTAACATAAACCTTTCCTTTCCTTTGATGATACATGTATCTTTTCTTTGAAACTGGAGTAGGAAACAAGGCAAAGGACACTAAGAGAGGCTCTAAAACAGAAAGACACTGCAGTTTTAAAGATAATACCATTTCCCCCTCTTCTCATGAAATGCTTAGTTCAGTGTTAAAGTGTCCCTCTCTCCGAACCTTTGCCATTGACATACAATTTCTTTCCTAACTGAGTGCTGAATGTGCATCAGGGAAGTTATCAGTACCTACTGAACCGTTTCAAAATGTCATTACTGGCACCTCTGGGAACACGTACCTGACAGGCCAAACACCCTCAGTAAATACCAATATCATAAACAAGGACAGGAGAGCATTTGATATTTCAATCTCCAGAAGGCTTTGACTTTTTAGATTTAAAAAATATCCCCTTGCAAATGACACATGCTACAGTTGGTTGACCTCTTGCTGTGACACCTTCTGGATACAAAGGACAAACAGTGCATTTCAGCCACTCACTATAATTTTCATCTTCATTTCCTGATTATTGTTTGGTAAGATAAAAAACAAAAAACATGCAAAGACTTCACAAAAAAATGACATTAGTTCATTAATTGCACAGCCTGATTTCTGGTCCTGCACAGAAGCTGGGAAATACTTTTAGTGATACCAGAAGTGGAGACTCAAAACAGGCCCATCAAAAGCATTGAATTGATATCTGATAGTTATCAATAAAATGGGCAATTAAGGAAAAAAGTCCTCAGCTGAAGAAAAACAGGCAAAACTACAGTGATCACAAACTCTTCCTACCTCACAACTTTACTGTTTTTAAACCCTTTCCATTTTGTTCAGTTACTGGAAAAAAAATTTGTTCCCCAACAGGAAGAGTATCTCATTCCTACTAAAATGGTCTTGAAATTACATTTGTATAGAACCATACATATTACAGTTTTAAATATTGGAGGTTGAATCCTGGTTCTGCCGAAGGGAGTGGGAACTTTACCATTTATATAATGGGATCAAGTTTTGGCAATAAAAGCACAGTGCATTAAAGATGCTTTTATTTGTATTTTTACAAAATAAATTAGTGAAATATTGAATATTAAGACTATCTGAAATGTAACCTGTAGAGAATGCTCTGTCTTATTTCCAGTCACTTTTCTGAATCTATTGTTCTTTTCATTCCTTCTTTCATAAGAAACCAATTGCATCCCTTTGGCCTTTATTGTAGATGAACAAGAGAGTTCTGGAGCAATTATTTACACTGTGGAGCTCAAGCGCTATGGTGGACCTCTTGGAATCACAATTTCTGGTACTGAAGAGCCCTTTGACCCAATTATCATCTCCAGTCTTACTAAAGGTGGACTTGCTGAAAGGTAAATTGGAAAAACAGTAACATATGTTTTACTTACCAGCTTCATGCCTTCCACTATTCACATGAACTAACACAGTAATTTGTTGATTTCCTAAAATCTAGGGGGAAAGACTCACCTTAGCAGCTTACAGTCTTTCTGTCATCAATTTGTTTTCTGTATTTTTGCCAGGCTCGAGAATAACATGCCTATTTTAGCATGGCAATGTTAAACCTCAACCTTAGGTTTCCTAGAGCAATGGAATAGCCAAAGGATTGTGTGTTTATGTATGTTTTTAAAAACAATATGCAGTACATGTGTGTACACACACATGCACATACACAGAAATTATGCATACATGCAGGCTATTTGTTCAAGAACTTACACATAAATGTAAGGGCACTCTTAAAAACAAGCAATTGTCTTCGATAATGTTACCTAATGGTTTTCAGTGTTTCACACAGTAAATGTTATATAGGGGAACTTGCAAATATTGAGTTAATTTTACCTATAAGAAAATCTTCTATTTGTTTTATGGACATCTGGTATGTGTGTGTGTGTTGTTGTCGAGCAGTAACACTTTATTGACCTCATATGTATATGAACAGTGGAAAAGGTATAACATTTTTCATCCTGGTGCAAATATACTGAATATACTCCAGCAATAATCATTTTTAATTAAAATTATAAATTTACTGTGCTAGCAGACAAATTACATCTTGTAAATGTATTATTTATCTGTTTGACCCTGGCCAAATCCACAGGCCTCTGATGGATGTTTAGAGCCTGTGTAAATAGTGATTTAGGTCAAATTTTAAAACCTGGCTGGTGCTTTCAGCCATGGTAGTGTTTGGTGTGCAATATGACATTTCTTGGAAGGGCCTTTTAGAAAGGTCTAGGCATCCTCCATTTCAGGTGTCCCAAATCGGTCAACAACAATTACTGTAATTTTTTTAAGTCTTGGCTTAATTTCCTAAGGAGCAGGTATATAGAACTGTATCAACTGGGCATGTTTTTTGACAGTGTCAAACAAAAAACAATGATGTAGGGAGGGAGCACGTCCATGAAGAATGAAGTCTGCATGTATAAGCACACATCCCAGAGCATATCTGTTCCTCTCTTGAGCTGATCGTACCAGAACTGGCATAACAATGAAATAGTGGTTCATTGCTCTCATTTCTGCTGAATTTTCTGTCTCTATCCTCTGGTTGTGAGACTAAACACTGAAAAACCTACATTTATATTAAAATCTATCAAAGTAGTTTAGATTTTTTTTAACAAAGAATGACCACAAAATCCTTAGCTGGAGCAAAGGAAATGAAAAATCTCTACGTCTGCACACTGACTTTGCTATTGGTAGTAAAGCAGAGGTGACTTAGGGAGTGGACACACAACAATTTATACCTGTGTAATTTTCATCAGTTTTATTTTCTGATATAAGCCCAACCAGGATCCAGAGTGGACAAAGCATCAGCTATTCTGGGATAGCTGTATGACATGGACTACTATTACTGCAGCTTTCCAAGTGTTTGTAGAAGGGAGCAGGTTTACCTTGAGTATACTGCTACCCCAGAATAAATTATGGATGCACAACACATACATTGATGTTACTTAGTCTAGTGATGTTTTTCTCTTATTTTTCCAAGGGAAGTTTGACACCAGATTCAAGTAAGTTTCACTATTAGGACTGTATTCCTTTTTACACTGGTATAAAGGTGCTATGAGTCCAAGCTCCTAATTGAAGTACCCTTAGTGATTATTGAAGTTGCTGATTAAAAGTAACTCCAATAATAATAATATCAATGTGAAATTAAAGGAAGAATGTAAACATAGAAATAAATGTATTTTGCTGCTTTTTCTGTTCATCTTTTCTCAATGTTCTGTTATTCTTTTTATTGTAGGACTGGTGCAATTCACATAGGAGACCGCATCCTAGCAATAAATAGTAGTAGTCTGAAAGGAAAACCTCTGAGTGAAGCCATACATTTGTTACAGATGGCAGGAGAAACTGTAACCTTGAAAATCAAAAAGCAGACAGATGGTGAGTATGGCTGTAGTTACATCAACCAATTTATTTCTATACCTTACAGAGCATTGGACATGTCATGAATGGAAAAGAGGTCAAGCATCTCTATATGTTTGCAATCAACCAATAATCACTTTTGTCTTTGAATCCTATTCAGCGGCAAGTCCCAAGAAGTTTCCTGGCTCTGGTCACATAAGTGAGATGAGTGATGTAGAAGATGAGACCTCTGCTGCACAGAAAACTGGCAAACTCTCTGACATATACTCCACTACGGTCCCAAGTGTGGATAGTGCAGTGGAATCGTGGGATGGCTCTGGTATTGACACCAGCTATGGGAGTCAAGGTACTACCAAGATTTCACACAGCACTTAAAAAAGGCCTCATACAGACATTCAGTTTCTCTTGGGAGAGTTCCTGCTCTCCCAGGAGAAATTATGAGTGTACAGAGTTAGGGACAGAAATTACACATAAACCAGTGTAAGTGATCAGCAGCCACTTCAAATCTGTAACACAACAGAAGTTCAGTGCACATAAACTACTTTCAAAATGACCAAAACAGGTTTAAGATAAACCTAAATGGATGTAGTATCAGACTTAACTGATTCAGGTTAAATCAGTTTATTGAACTTGTATCCCAGATGCCCTCCAGATTCAAGTTAACTCACAGTCCCCCAGCATCCCAGGATGTTTTGCACCTCCCCTGAAAATTCCCCCTTTCAGGGTGGGCAGACTAGCCTTGGCCCAAGCTGTCTGCTCCAGCTGAGCAGGGAGGTGTGCTCTAGTGCCCCCAGGCTTCTGGCCTGGGCCACTGCAGGCATGTGGCTGCATTTCTGGAATCAAAAGTGAATGCCTGTTCACTTGCTTATTGGCTTAATCTGCTCATTTTAGACTAAACTGTGAAGATTTAATTGATTCGGCCATGGGCTTTTCAACTGTCTGTACTTCAGGCTTTTTCTCTCAGAGTAAAAATGGCCATTCCAGGAGAAAATTACCTGGGAACAGCCAGGGTTAAATCACTTCCAGGAGAGTTTCTCCTGGAAGAGAAAATTTTTGTATACACTGACACCACAAGCCTGACCATGGACAGCGGATTTTCCCATCAGAGCTGCCCTATGCACTCTTGCCAGGCAGTCTTCAGACAATACTGAGATGTGTGCACAGGGCTCTCCTTCTCTTTCCCCTATCCCCACCCTGCCCTGGTTGCACAGTGTCAGCACTGCAAGCTCACCACTCTTCAGGGCCTTAGCATTTGAATGTCTATACATATGGCTCTGGGTAAGCTTTTCTATCATGAGAACAAATGTGGGAGAGTTCTCCCAGACTATTTGCATGCTTGTATACAGTCTATGACTGAACCTTATCTGCCTTATAGAAAATCCTACCTCCTATCCCAACTTTCAACTTAATACTTCAGAGTGTGCTTGTGTTTCACCATGCCCACACACCTTACTGTCTGGTGTTCCTTCTTATGCTCGGCTGGCCACAAGTTCATTCTTTCATGACAGTGTGATGAATTATGAAGCATTTGTCAATATATTAACAGGCTTTCAGTAGCTTTACTGATATGTGAATAGCCCAATCCATAGCTCATCACAGCTAAATGAATTTATCCTTCAAGCTTAGATTAATGTAAAGCACACAACACATTGAAGATGTTCCTTCCGTTGAGTATTTGAGGTCCATGCTCAGTGATTTTAAAACTGATTACAGTAAAGATTTATTGTAAACTGCTTAAAGGGAAGCATGAGAGATTATTCAGTGATTTGTTGTGCTTGCATGCCTTCCTTAGTCATGTGACATGAATATCTAAGTCTAGCTCTGGGAGTAATCACTGCATTTAAAGAAATTATTTTAATTAAAGAAATAATGGAATCTTGTTTTCTTGCAAACTTGTGCAGTTCTATTAGACTGTTTGCTTAATCGTATATTTAAACTTAAGTTTATGTATATAAAGCAATATTTTAGACTGGAGAAAATGAAGGCAGCTCTTTAATACTCTAGATAACCAAAAAAACCGAAACAAACCCAAACATTTCATGCTTCATGCTACTGATGTGCCCAGTACATACATTACAGATATTTAAACAGATAAATCCCCTCACCAATGAATTTCTTTGCCCTCTTCTGATTGCACACATTCCTACAAGTGTATCTTCATCTCTACATTGCAGTAAACAGCTTGCTGGGAGAGAAGGCAGTCAGATCTTTTGGCCCAACTTTCTTCCCCTTCCTCCCCATCATAGAAAATTGGAGCAGGACCTGGCACAATACTTTGTTCACTTAGACTGAAGTTCTATGCTGATTATTTTGATCGCTTATCTTCAATTGATATATGTCTACTCAGTGAAACATGTGTTGCCTTCTGTCTGACACTCCTTTGAGACCTGGCCAATAGTATCAGAGAAAGTAGCTGATACTAGCCTTGATTGCTGGTTTTCTGTTACATAATTTTTAGATTTAATGGTCTTTCAAGGTGCATCCTGCTAGTAACTCTGTGTGGAACAGAAGAGTATCTCTTGGCATTTATTTGTGACCTGTTTTTTGTGTTTTGTTATTAATTTACTATTACATATAATATTTCTATGGCCTGAAACTTGATACCCATTACAGTGATTGGGCGTGTATATACGTTCCAATTTAAGGCACATTAGCCATTTTTAAGGTGTATTAAGAGTGCAGGTCTACATGTGTGCACCCTTAATGTGCCTTAAAAATGGTGATTTTAGGCTAATCATGCCTAAATTTGGTACCTGCATAAAGCAGCTACCAAATTTAGGCGCAATTAGTTAAGGCACCTTAACCCATGTACAGATGCCTTAAGGCATCTTAATGCTCTCTATGTCGACTGAATGGGCTGGAGCTGAGCCCGAGAGACCCTGTGCTGCCACTGGGTGCCATCAAGATGAAGAAGTGGCAGGTGCTGTTCTCCAAGGTGCAGGAGCTGGAGCTGGATTGGCGGTTCTGGCAGCAGCGATACCCATTGGTATGCCAACCAACTTGGGACTAAGTCAGCAGAGGGGGCAGGAGGCACAAGGGCTCCTGTCAAAGCACAACGAAAAGCCCCCTCCCTTCCTCCACATGACTTCCTGCAGGGGAAGGGGGCAGTGCTGCATGGGCAGGGCCATTGCTAGCAGCTCCCCAATGCCTCTCCCTTAGGGTGGGTTTGCAATGCAGCCCTGCTGGGGCAGGACACCTCGCTATCCACCCAGGATTCAGGTGCCCTTAGAAACCTATGCTGGGGCTCCCAGCCAGGACAGCAGACGGGCTGGGACTGCATCTGCCCCCAGGGCCTGGCACAGCTTTCTCTGCTCTACGCACTTCCATCCCGGACAAGTGCCCAGCCTCCCTGCCAGACAATGCTCATGGGAAAGGTGGTGTGAGGTCCTAGGGATGCTGTAGAGTTCAGCCTAGGTGCTATGTGGGTGGGGGCCTGGCCATGGATCATACAGGTCTAGGAGAGAGCCTAGCCCCTGCCTGCATTGCACCCAGCCTTCCTGTGCTGAGCCACATAGAGCTCCCAGGAGCTCACACTGCCTCTCCCTTAGTCAGTGTCTGGCAGGGAGGCTGGGCGCTTGCCCAGGACAGAGGTGGGTGGAGCAGGGAAAGCCATGCTGGGTGCTGATGGCAAACATAGTCCAGCCTGCTTACTGTTCCAGACGGGAGTCCTAGCATGGGCTTCTAAGAGTGCCTAAGCTTTAGCTTGCTCTTGTCCGATGCTGGGGAAGCAGGACTATGGGGAGGGGTTTGGAGCCATGGATGGAGCCAAACTGATACATGTTGAAGGGGACTGGAGGCTCCCACCTCCTCAGCCTGCCCTGGCCTGCACTGCCCAGCTATGCTGTTGTAGGCTTTGGGAGCTGTCCAGGGTGCTGCCCAGGGCAGAGTCTATGGTGAGCTGTCCCGAGTGTTGACCAAGACAGGCTGAAGACACATTCGCCCAGCGAGCCATGTTAAGGTGCCGTAAGGCATGTACTTGTAGGCACACACCTAAACTGCCTTAATGTGCCTTAAGCTAAGGCACACTAAGTTTAGGTGGGTGTAAATTCATATGTAGACAAGCCCACTGAAATCAAATTCACTGTTGTGTTACTTTGTTGTTCTTGGATTTATAATAGGGAGGGATGAATTTGGTTAATTAATTTGTGTATCTTTTACCCCTTGCGATGCGGGGCATAACACTCACCCCAGCTCCAACTGCAGCAGCCCCAGGAGCTGCCGGCACCAGCTGCCTGCACCAGTGCCTGCACCAGGGCATGGTGCAGCCCAGCAGCTACAGGGAGCTGGCATCGGCCGCTCCCAGGACAGCTGCAGCAGTAGCTGGGGTGAGTGGGGACAGGCAGAGCCCCAGGGGGCTCAGGGCATGGTGGCTGCAGGCAGCTGGTGCCAGCAGCTCCCGGGGCCGCTGCAGCTGGGGCTGAGGTGAGTGGGGCCATGGCCCTTTCCTCTCCCGCCACAGACTTACCTGCTTGGGTGGGGGGGGTCTATGCTGATTGGATAAGAGCAAATTTACCTCACATGTAATGAGTTATGGGTCTAAATACGCTCATCACATAAGAGCAAATTCACATATAAAGAACCTGCATAAATCAAGGGAAACCTTTACAGTACAAGAGCTGCTCCCCTTTTAAAGCAGTTGAAATATACATTTGTCCATGCCCCTAGATTCGGTCTTGAAAGAAGGTGATCTTTCAATACCCAAATAGCAAGAAGTTTTCCCTCTCTTCCAAGATTGTTAAATTTTACATACCAGCAGTAGATAAGGTGAGGAATCAAATCAGTTCCATGGCTAGTCATTATTCTCCATAAAATAGAACTTGTGATGTTGATACTGGAATGGATTTACCTAGAGAGGTGGTGGAATCTCCATCCTTGGAGGTTTTTAAGGCCTGGCTTGACAACACCTTGGCTGGAATGATATAGTTGGGGATGGTCCTGCTTTGAGCAGGAGGTTAGACTAGATGACCTTCTGGAGTCCCTTCCAAACCTAATTTTCTATGATTATCTTATGGATAGTTAACAATTGTATATGATTCACCTTCCTACATCTGCAAGCAAGTCTCCTTTGTCAACCTTAAAAATGCTGGACACGCTTGTATGGTTTTACTTTATTTCTCAGAAACAACCTGAGTATTATTATTGAGTTGTGTCTTATTTTGAATATCTTTTGTCTTAGCATTAAAGTTCCCCATATTTCTATTACAGTTTTTGGCCTGACCTGTCACTCTGAGTTTGACTCTCCTCCAAACTTTACTTGACATAAGCATATAGACTAAGCAAATTCAGGAATTTAGGAAATTTCATTTGCAGCAGATGATGCTTTATCTTATTTGTATTATTGATTTAATGCAGGTAGAATGCCCCAGTACAGTCCTAACTTGCACTCTAGGCAGGGGATTTAAAAAGATTGGTGTAATTATTAGATAATAAGCTTGGCAGTTAGAAAGGCTGGTTTTTTTTATTCTAAACTCCACCATAAACTTGCTGTGTGACCTTTGATAAATCCCTTTGGCAAATAACTTCATCTTTTTGTGCCTAAGATTCCTACATTTATTAAAGCGAGGATAATAAAACACATCCTCTTCTTAAGAGTACTGTGAAGCTGCATTCATTGTGTGTAAGGCATTTTGAGTTTTTGAGATGAAAACTGTTTTATAAATGCAAAGTGGTCATTGTAGTGAAAAGCAACAGATCTGCAGCTGAACCTTTAAACATTTCAGATCTGGTTGTTTTAAATTAAATCCTCAGTGATCTAATTATTTTGAAATTTAATCAGACTTGTTTAGGTATTTATTTTGACTCATTTTTCTATCTAATTAGGAGGTCAAAATCATTGTTAATAGCATGAAGATGTGTTACATTAGAAAAAGCAAGAATGTTTGCTGCTCTATTTCAGTTCAGGAGAACAAGCAGGTTAGTTTGACAGAGTGCCAGAATGCACTGTGCTGCTGTCATTTAATTTCCCTCATGGAGAGAAGAATGCTCAGTGTTCAGCTATAATTTAGTTTGTTTGACAAGCAACTGCACATGCATCTCACACATGGCTTCTTACAGAAAACTGGTCACACTTCTGCTTCTATTAGAAAAAAAATGCTATTGAAATACTAAACTAAATAGTCCCCAAACCTATATAGTAGTTCTAGCCTGCAGAGTCATGAAGAATTCTCTGCTCAGCCATCAACAGAGACAGAAAAGTTCATTGTGCTCAGTTGGCAGCAGTCTAACTGCTGTTTAGGGTGGGCGGGGAGGCTTGGGAATGGGGTGCCATGCTTAGGATAAGACATTTAACTGAGGCAGATCTTTTCTGCTTACTGCTGTTGACATCCCACATGAAAATCAAAGGTTCCTTGGCAAAGAACTTTACAAAAAGACTGGAGAGAAATCCAATCTTTTCCCTCAATAAATCACATTATACTTAGAATATACATTTTATAGGGCCTTTCATCCCAAAGGATTTCAAAGCACTTTCCAAGTTTAAACTAATACACAGACTGTACCCAGGGAACACTCCATCCCCAGTGCAGTGGAACTAGCACAGTAGTTACTGCACGTTACTTTGGGGAAAGAAATGATAATACCTTATTCATGCAAGGGAATTTAGGTAGGCAGAAAATAATTACCTGAGATGGAGTTTGGTTAGAACCCTGAGGTTAAACCCCTTTTCTTTTCTCAAAACTTCAAAGGGATCTTGAATGACCGTATTTTGTTTAGACTTCAATGCCTATTGCAGCTGCGCCCTGCACTTCTTCATTGTGTCTCCAATCCAACCTTTCTATATGGTCTGTTCCCAATATTCTGCACAGGCCACTGCTTCTGATGTTTGTGTTGCCAAATCATGTGGGGTGCATTGTGGTGTTATGGGACATCTCAGGAGATGATCCATGGTTTGTTTCTCCTGACAGACATATTGATTGGTTGCATAGAGGCCCCATGATTTCATGAGAGCGTGCGCTGCACTGCAGTGCTGAGACATTTTTGCTAATGTTCAACATACAGTGTTTAATGTAGGGACTGAAGAATGGCCAGCCTAGTACACTGAGATACAGTCTAGGGACAGAGACACAATTTTGGACAATAGGTTTAATTTGTAGGGATATTTAATCTCTGATTTTTATATAGTTTTCATAAGAGCCCCCCTTTTTGAACACAAGTAAATCAGAACATGATTTAGTCAATGAAACTTATTGTGACTGTAAACAAATACCAACATTTTTCATCCTACAAGTCATAGGTGCAAGTCTTGGCAAAGCTAGGCCATAAAAGTAGGCATTTATTGAATATTGTTGGTTGAAGACATGTGGAGTCATATTATGATTATATTTTTAGGACCCAGTTATCAGGCATCGGGATACAACTTCAATGCATTTGAATGGAGGAGTCCAAAACAAAGAGGCAATTTATCCCCCGCAAGTAGGTCAAGGAACCACCCTTTTCATGATACAGGATTGAGTGATGATGAATGGGACAGACCAACAGCCAGTGGGTAAGTCGCATGCATAGTTACATTATTTGCTGTGTGACTGCAGAATTTGTTTTTAAATTAGTGTTAATAGTCCAGGATGAAAACATCTTTTTCTAACACAGATTTCCAGCTTCTCCTTTAGCTAATGAGATGTAATATTTGCATTTTGTGCTGCATGAGATTTATGATCTATGAAGCTGAAAGCAAGCCTGGCATGTATGGTAAGTTTCTGTGCATAAAAGAGCACAGCATTAGCTGTTAATGTTCAGAAAAAAAAACCTGTAGGCACATCCCTTTACAATAAGCTTCAGATAGAAGAAAAGAACTCCCTCCCACACACTCCCACCCCTGCACACAATGAACAACAAAAAAGACAGGAAAAGAAGCAAAACCTCACTAAAGCAACTTCATTTTCCATGAGAACTCTTGTTTCTGGATCACAATAACTTGCAAACAAAGCACAAGACGTTCTTTTCCTCCAGACATGGAAGAAACCAGAGGAATGAGGATAAAAGTCATCATAGCAATCCAGGAAGAGAAAGAAGCAAGGACTCTTCCAAGACTTCCTGTCCAAAACAAAACAAAATTTTCCAGCCCCATTTTTTGTTTACTGAAAGACACCTCCACATCATCAAAACCAGCAAAACCAAGGGCTATTGCACAGTATGAGAAACCAAAGATCCTTCTGCCTTCTATTATAAGGCTCATCCAATTACTGCTCATTCATCTCTGCAAAAAGCATAGTATTTTCTGCTGGAAGAAGTTATTTTCTGTAGAGAAGAAAATAGAAGTCATACTTATCTAGGATTTCAAATATTCTGCCTTTAAAGAAATACATGCCAGTGTCTTTTGGCACAATGACCAATAAGTCTCAAATCCCAGAACCATAACTCATTCAAATTGAATAATAAAGAAAACATCCAGCTATTGTCTTACTGATAAGACAGACTGGATGTGAGAGCCATAGCAGCAAAATCAGGGGTCAGGTGCCAACTCTGGTTTCAGCCCTGGATATCAATTGGCTATTCAGAGCAAAGTCTTTTCTACCTCAGGATTTTCAAGTGGAATCTTGATAAGATGATAGCTGTGGTCATAGATAAGCTTTTGCTGCCTACCCAGCTGCTTTTGTTCCTACCACATCAAAAGTACAGAGAGATTTTTCTTATTCCAAAGGGAAGACCGTGAACCTGGACTATCAGAGGAAGGCCCTGGCCAAAGAGTAGGTCCAACCCCTTATGCCAGTTTAAATATTCAGTGCTTCTGTCTGTCTGTAAGGTGGTCACCTGGTTCCAAGCAGTTTGAGACAAGTGAGTAAAGTAGATAGTACTGAAGTTGCAGAAACTTCAGGTTCATCCACATTCCAATTCCATACCATCTGAAGAAGAACAAAAACACAGAATCATCCTGAAGAAAATCTTAGACCTCTTACAGTTAGAAACAGCATAATTTATCTCTCAAGACAAAAAGTGCCAGTTGCTTGATGATTTCCTCATCATAGTAAGAGAAAGATGTAAAGGAGTCTAAGTCAATGTAGCCCTTGAGCAGGATGGCCACATTAAAGATGGACAATCTAGCTTTCACTTTTAATGCAATCTCACCAAGAGACATATTGACACTGATAAACTCAGCAGACGTTTATTCATGTCAACAATATCTCCAACTGGCCTATGCAAATCACCACTATCAAAACAAAATATTTGTTAGTTTTTGGTCTGTCCTGCATCTTAAAGAACTTACAGATGCCCATTCTTATGTAACATACACTTTAGAACTCAGGTTCCCAACCACCAGGCCACGACCTGGTACCAGGCCACGAAGGGTTGGCTGCTGGGTTGTGGCACGAGCCTCACACACGGAGCCCCATATGTCTGCCGGGGCAAGCAGTTTCCACTGCCGGCAGTGACATGCAGTGTTAAAGCTGGGGAATGGGGCAGCCCTGGGAGGGATGCAGCCGGCTGTGTTTGCCCCGTCGCACTCCCATGCTGGTCTGCAGGTTGGGAACCAGTGCTTTAGAACAGTCTCTCCAGGGAACCTGTGCCCTGAACAATACTCTTCATACTTCAGGCAGTTTAGCATGAAGTCATCTGCCTAATTAGATTAGACGGGCAATCCAATCTTATAGGCACACAGTGCACACCTCCTGTTTTGGTCAGTGCTTTAGAAGAGTCTTTAGGTGAACTGTATATACACTGGTCAATGCTTGTCTTAATTAGTAGTCTAATAAGGCCTACAAACATCTCCAGAAAAAGCCAAATGCAAGGAGGTGAAATAGTCTGCACCTTGGAGCTGATTAATTCAAATCAACTTTGTTCTCTTTCATTTCCTTTTATGCTAAATAGCTGATCATGAAAGGCTGTTTTCACATGTTCTCCGGGGGGGGTGGGGGGGAGAGTGTTTTAATTAGAATAGCTTTTGGGAGCCACTCTAATTAAAGCACCTGTAGCATCACAGCTATTCAGCATCCTGCACTTCAAAATGGCAATGGAGGCACTTTAACTGAAGCTTGTTTGATGAGGTTTAGTTAAAGCACCCCTTCTGCCATTTTGAAGCACAGGGATGATGCCTAGGCTGCTGGAGCACTCTAATTAAATTAATTGATTAACTTAATTAGAAAATGTTGGAGCAGGTGTTGGGAATGTGTATAGGTGCCCATTGTGATCCTTAACAAGGAGGAAGAAACAAGTGTCCTCTAGTAGAGTGGAGAGTACAGCATTCTACATGCCTCCTAGATCAAAGCAACTGATGGTGCTGAATTGGTTTCTAGTATAGCACTGTGTTATTAATATTTGGGTGTCATCTGTTCTAAATGAAATTTCTCCAGACTTGACAGATGGCATTAAACAAGAAAAAATGTTTTTATTCCAGTCAGGTAGCCAAACATCCAGCCCAAGATAATGGCAGTTAATTCCATACCAGTACTGTGCTAGGGGCAGTGGGGAGAGGAAGAACTAAGGCAGCAGCCCAGTGACTTGGTATAAACAGAAGTCCTGGCTTCTTGAACATGGTTTGCTTGGCCTGAAAACATGTAATAAAGAAAACTACCCTTCCCTTTTATACTCCTCCCATTGTTATTAAATAAATGGCTTTGTTTTAACAAGAGGAGCACTTGGAGCCTTGATTCAAACTCAAGATGAGATGCAATCATGACTCTGATAAACATGCTGTTTGGGGATTAGTTAAATAATAGGCTGAAAAATTTAATCAGATATGAACTAGGAATCTGGTAATAAGGTTTATAATTTGTTTAAAATAAACATCATTTATTCAACCACTGCTTTAAGAGTAAAAATCAATAACAGTGTGCTGCCTAGAACAATTTCCTTCTTATCAGTGTAAAAATCCTGAGACATGGGACACAATTTAAATTAAGTAAAATAAGGGTTGTTTGAAGACAGTATCTAGAAAATGGATTATACTCCTACTGACAAAACAGTGTGCTGGTCCTGCTAACAGACATGCTCACTCTTCCATTTTTCAGGAGAATTCTGGGGCCACCATGGCCTTCTGCTGAAGTTCTCTGTCCTTCCTCTAGGTAACACTAAGAACTACATTCCCCCAACATGCTACTTCCTTTGAACTGTATAGTATAGCTGCAGAAAGGAGAGAGAATACGCAGCATCAGAAAGACATGGGAGTATTCGGGAAGAATCAAAGAAATCAGTCAGAGCAAACAGCAGTGGAGTGGAAAACCCGGGGCAAAGAGGTAGAAATGAGGAATGAGAAGGACAGAACTAAAGAAAGGAAAGGGAATGGAAAAAGCAGAACAATCCAGAGAACAAAACCAAGAGTGCACACAAGCACACTAAGAGAGAAAAAAAGGAGAAAAGCAATTTATATGAGAATCAGCATAAAAAGAAAGAAGACAGAACAGGCAAGAGAGAAAAATGGAAAGAAAATAGGCAAGACTCATCAGATGCTCCAAGGAATGGCATTGAGACTGGAGTAAGCAAACAGTGACTAATGTCATTTGAAAACTTCCTGATTTTAATGAAATTTACCAAGTACCTTATAATTAGGAGGGAAAAAGTTTTCAGAGTGAGATTCACCAGAGTGATGCTCTTGTCCCCTTTTATTTAGTAATCTGGGGTTTAGGCACTCAATGGGATTGTAGCAGAAATAGATTCAGTTCTGTCCTCTTACTGTGGGGATTTGGCTCCAAGGACCTCCCAGAAATTTTCATAATTCCCCACTATACGGCATACTGAGGTGGGTCCTCATCATCCTTTCTGTTGGAGCTGTTCCACTTCGCATGGAATACCAGAGAAACACCAGCATCACCACCCTTTCTTTGGCAGTTTGGAATTTCTAGTCCTTCACCTGCTTTTATTACAAATACCAGAAAATAAAACATCTTGCTTTGGGTTTAACCAAGACATTTTTCTTAAAAATGAAACAAAAATTATTAGTGGTTTGTTTCAGCAAGAAAAACTGAAAAGTTGGGTTTGAGCAAAACTATTTTAAATGTATTTTTCAATTCAAACAAGTCCAGTTTTTTTTCTACATAGCCCTAGTTGGACCCAGAGGTCAGGAAGCTTTCAGCTACAGGGGCAAGGAAGAAATCAAAGAAAAAAAAGACTGAGATTCTCACAGTGCCACATTAATACATTCTGTAGGGATTACATAGGACTAGGCTGAGCCATCTGGTTCACTAAATGCAGTCCCCTGTTATGGCAGTGTAAAAGTGATGTTGTTGTGATGGTCCAGAAGTTATATGAGAAGCAAGGAAGAATGTCTTCCATACAAAAGCTTGTCTATCTCTATCCCAGCTACATAGTTGTCCCCTGTTATCAAAGACAACCACCAAATGTAACCCTATTCCTACACTTACCAAGCTCTGTTGTATATGATAGTTCAATATTAGCATACTATATATTGTAATAGTAAGATACTATGTTGGACTTCTTTAGCTATGTAGAGTTGACACCAACCGTAAAAGTAATTTTCTCAGAATTACTGCAACTTCAGAGGTCAAAGACCTCTCTAAAACATCACGTTAACATCATGTGTGTCACCTGGGGAGGAGTCTGTCTCAGGATCTGAGTAGATATCCTCATCATTGCTGAACAGTACTTTAGAAGAAACACTGGGACTATAAAAACACATTGCGATAGGAGGCTGGTTTGCCTGAAAAGGCCAACCACTGTCTGCCTAACTGATAGTAATTGTGAGAGAGCATTCTTGGTGCAAAGCTGTCGTGTGTGAAGTGTTCAAGCTGTAATGCCTTTGACATTAGAAGCTATTATGTTAACAGAGTACCCCATTAACAGTATCCTAGGCAAAACACCATTTATCAAGAAAGTCCTGAAATGTCTCCATAATGGTGCTCCCTATATATATAGACTGTTGGACACCTCTAAGTGCAGTGTAAATTATTCTTCATCTGAGTGCCTTTGCTATCTTGCATGCTGCTAGCCCAATAAAATGCTGTGGCACTGTAGCTCTGCATTGTGTTTCTGCAGTCAATAATTGGCAGTTTTTATCCAAACTCTTGCTGACCAATTCTATGTATCACTCAGCCAATTCTTGCAGGAGAGAGCTGGTAATAAGGCTTCAGCACTTTTATGAAACGGCAAAGAATAAATCAACGACAACAAGAATGGCCTAGAAATGGACTTTAAGCACATACTTGAGCACTTTGTTGAATTGGTGCCTACTTCTCAATGAAATAGAGTTGCAAAAATACAAGAGCCTATATATCCTGCTGTCCATAGATATAGTAATTGCAACAGTTGTTGTGACAGTGGCTGGGACGGGGTTATATTAATTATGATAAATATAGCCAAGAATGAAGGAGTCAGCTGAAAGCATCAGGATTGGAGTAGATACGTTTCAAGATGTTATTTACAAAGGTGAGAGCTGGTTTTGTACACCACCAGGGAAGTTTGTGAGGTGGGAAAGTCTAATTATAATTATATCATTGCACTGATCAGCTATGAACTGTAATTCTGTTTGGTTCACTAATTTTCATTGAGAGGTCCCAGTTATTGCAGAACGAAATGCATATAAATTGTTCTTAAGCCCTTTTCTTTTCTCAGAATATACCTCTTCCTTACCCAGTCACATACTAACAGTTGCCAGTATATGAGTGTGACTCTCACCCACACAGGCCATCCCACAAGCTACTGGTTTGTGACTCCCCACCCCTCCCCAATCTGTCCTCTTCTTATTGCAACTGTCTATTACTGCAGCTCCAATGTGTGGCAAGATGCTTGTTTAAATGGTACTTTTCAAAATGAAACCTGTACGTTGTTTGTACATTTGACTGAACCTCTCTTTGTGAATCTAGCTTTGCAGGTACCCATGATAACACCGAGACTGACCAGGAGGAAAATTTCTGGTCTCAGGCTCTGGAGGATTTAGAGACCTGTGGCCAGTCAGGCATATTGAGGGAGCTAGAGGTAGCTCAATCTTAACCCTTTCATCCTACTATATAGAGATATAATATTTTTGTTTGTTTTACATTCATTTTATGTTCTTTTCTGCTGTATATTTTTAGTTCGCATTAATCACACAACTTCATTTAAAAGCTTTAACCCCTTTCCACAGGACAAGGCTGACAGGCATCTGTATTTGAGAAACGTGACTCTCTTGGTACCTAACCTTTATGTTTATATTTTTGCTTGTGCAGCTGCTTCCCCCACCCTTAATAAAGCTATTTTCTTTCATACAATGCAGCTGAAATTCTAGAAACATGTTCACCCCAAAGCTTCCTGATTTGCAGCTTCTGCCGTGTGCACTGCTAACACTGCCTGCACATGCAGCGATTGGTGCAGAATTTTTACATGGGCATCATTTTCCAGCAGCAGTGCATCCTGTTCTCTTCTGGCTGCTTTCTGAAGTTTTTCTTCGCATGTTGTAATTTGTCTGTGGAATAGAACTTAATTTGATTAAGGCGAACATAAAAGAAAAATGTCACCTAAAACATTTTTACAAGAGCCTTATCACTTGGTAAACAAATATAAAAGCTTGAGAAACATTCAGAGCATAGATACACACACACACGCACACTGAATTTTTACATTATGCCCTAGAGTAAATGGCAAATATGAATTTCATTTCAATGTTGTACCATGTAAAGGTCGGGTGGGGAAGAACAGAGTAACTATGCATTTTTTTTGTCTAATTACATTTTCTGTAACTTGTTTAACCAGAACAATTAAGAATATACTGACGCTTTTAAAGCTGTGGAATAGAAAGTCCTAAAATATTTTCTTTTATGTTCTTTTAAATTTCCTGAGCTGCAGAACTGGCAGAATCTCATTTTCATTTTTATGTTATATAAAGTCCCTTAGCAACCACAAGGAATGTGAATGGCATAACTGGGTGAAATTTCTGCAGTTTAAATTGATTGTATATCCTCAGATTTATGGCTTCTGTATTGCATGTATAGTTATTATAATGTGATTCCAATGTACTTGTAATTGCAAGACAAAAAATTTAAGGGAAATACTTAATGTCAGTTTGGTTTAATTTTGTAGTTATCTCTGGCATGGTACCACTTATGGTTTTCATTATTCAGGGCACAGCAAAATGGTGTGGAAATAGATAACAAGAAAGGATATTTCAGCAAGTTAAGATTTCCGTCATTTAAATATCAATTATGTGGTATAGAAATTAAAACTTGGAATTGCAATTGAGTACTTCTACTTTACCAACCTCAGTATTGAGTTGCATAGCTCTGAACAAACATCATCCATCCAGAAGTCACATTATAGAACTAGGATTCCCAGTAGGTTATGTGGTGTGATTTCTGAAACTTTAAGATTTTTGAAAAGCTAAGTTTAGCCATGCTCATGGATAGATCTAGGATTTTAAAATGGCTGGTGCAGATTGTGTAGCACATCATCAAACATGACACATTTTTCTCCAGTTAAAGAGAAACCAGAATCTTTACTAATAAGCCAGGATCTAGCACTATAGTATTCAGTTTAAAATCAAAGCAAAATAAATACATCTTTATTGGAATGTGCACTAGATTGCTTGATTATATATAAACATTAAAAAACACAAGAAACTAGGCAAAAATGGTCAAAGTAATCAAAAGATAGTGTTTCATTAGTCCTGTAGTCATTATAGTTAAATGTACATCTCTTAACTAAACTTGTAAAACAAAGTCCAGTCTTGAATGCCTTGACAGTACCTCCAGTACTTTTACTGTCAGTCACCTGAGATATTACTACACCCGTGTTAAGGTTTTTAGCTAGAGCTAAAAACAGTCTTCAGGGCTCTGAAATAGAAGAAAGGAATTACTAGGAATGGCTAACAGACAGCAAAATTGCAGACGAAAAGGTAGTTTGAATAGTGGAACATCAAGACCATTAAAAAGGAGAGAGTGATTAACACCTCTGGAATGAAGAGATACTAGCAGGAATCAAGTAGATTCTAATGAATCATTAAGTCAGTTGACTCCCACGGTATTCCCCGAATAGAAATGCTGCTGCCCTTGCCAGGCAATAGATTTTAAAGTGTGGATGAAACAGGAATCGGGGGGGGGGGGGGGTGTACAACAGCACCACTTATTTGGTTAAGACTCCCTTCTTATTTATTTCAAGATCTTCATCCAAACAGTAAAGATTTATCAAATCTGCCTGCTGCTGTAGTTTCACCAGGGAGCACCATCAGTCACCATGGAGCATGATAGAAGCTATTACAAGTGTTTTGTCATTTAATGAAAGTAGGGCTCCAGAATTTAACTTTCATTTTATTTTAAACATATTTTGAGTGTAAATAAATGATTGCATTGCACAGGCTTCAAGCTGTAATCAGATTCATGGTATTAAAGCTTTCTTGGACATGTTAATGGCACAGTCCATATGGAAACCTTTTGCCAAAGAGCTTTTTTTAGTGGCTTTACAAGGAGATTTTATGTCTGTCCTCTTGCCTTTTGCTGTACCCTGAAGTGACTGTGTTTTGAAAACAGAATAGAGAATTTGGCCTTCTTTAATCCAAATTATACGTTAAAAAATAAACCTGTTTGTTACTGCTGTAGGCCACCATTATGTCAGGAAGTACATTGAGTTTGAATCATGAAAACCCACAGCCTCGCAGCCAGTTGGGAAGACAAGCCAGTTTTCAGGAAAGAAGCACTGCGAGGCCACATTATAGCCAGACAACCCGCAGCAACACCCTGCCATCAGACGTGGGCAGAAAGTCTGTGGTTCTGAGAAAAATTAAACAAGAAATGAAAGAAATCATGTCACCAACTCCTGTGGAGTTACATAAGGTCTGTCATTTTTTTACTGGTAATTCTTCATAATATATACAGCATAGGGAATCTAATTGTGTGGCTTTATATTAAGTACTTTTCATAATGACCCCACAAGTTTGAGGACGGGTCTATTATTTCTTCTTGCAAACACGCTCGTAATGTGTTCTTATAGGGGAACAAACTGAATAAGTTGCATCCTCACCTACTGGTTACTTTTAAAGCAAATCCTCAGGGGAGATGGCTGCATAGGCTCTTGTTTTTGTTGGTGGGTGCTCCTTTTTTTTTTTTTGGTGTTCCCATGCCGAGCCCTGCGTATGCCCAGAAGAGACAGTGTGTTACTTCAACCCAGCTGGCCCCACCTGGCTCATTGGTGCTGAGCACCTGCTAATTTTTTTTGGTGGATGCTTGAGCCCCAGAGCACCCACAGAGTTGGTGCCTAAGGATGGCTCTTTCACAAGAAGGATCTGCTGGTAAATTGGAACTAGCAACAGTAATAATTCATCTCTGCAAAATGTGTCTGTTAAGAAAAAAAGATTACTTTCCAAGAAATATATTTCTTTAGCATATGACTCAAAAGGCCATGTTGCTTTCATTCTTCCTTAGCCATGAACCTGCTGATATCTCTCTTTGTTTTTACGTTGTGGTTCACTTTTTATTCCTGCAGTAGCTCTCTCCCAGTGATATAAACAATCACAAGTTTTAAAAGTGTCCCTCTGGAGAAGAAAAGAGAAACCAAAAGTTGGATTGTGGCATCATTTCCCAAATTGTTGGATTCTTGCATAAAATATCACTTGGAATACAGAAGTTAGATGTGAATGCTCCATAGTAACAATGATTTTGGAGAAAACGCTGCGTTTGACAGGCAGTTTATGACGAGGTGTGAAAAGGGGATGGAATTGTTATATCTCAATGGAATTCTCAGTCCAAGGGCTTTTTTCTCTATTTGTAAAGTGTCGGATGGTAACAGAAGACGGCAGGGGTGGGAGTTCAAAGGCAAAGCTGCCAGATACTCCTCCTCAAGCTGAAGTTTGACATTAATGCTGGGGCAGTGAGGAAAGGCCTCTTTCAAGGAGTAATGTAGGGCACTTATACACGTGCATGGAGCCTGCTCTGACATGCTGTAATTGCAATGCGTTGGAGCAGACTCAAGTAATCGAATCTGCTGGAGCATGGTAATTACCGCACTCCAGCAGATTCCAACATCTATGATGGATACATTCCATGCATCAGCATCCCTGCACTGAAAAATGGCTGTGGGGGCGCTTTCACTAAAGCTCATTTGACAAGCTTTAGTGAAAGCGCCCCCACTGCTATTTTTCATAGTGTCATCTGAAAGATTAGGTATCCTGTGCTTCCTGTCTAGGGTTAGCTGTCACGTGGTGGATACAGCCCAAGAGGGAAAAATTGAAACGCTGCAGGTGAGGGAACCAGGGAGTTGAGGTCTTTATTCTGCTTTAGAAAGTCTTCCCATAGGGAAGCTGGAGTGACGTGTAGCCTATATGTGCAGGAAAGCTTGCACAAATTTGAAAGTGTGATGAGGGAGGTGATGGAGCTGAGGTCCAATAGGGAGACAATTAATTAAGTGGATTAGTCCCTTTATCTAATACATCAGTGAGTTTTTTTCAAAGGGAAACCCTGATTTCAGAAACACCTGACTTCAGGACAAAGATAAAGCAGTCTATAGATTAGGCTTCTGTAGGGCATTTTAAGGCAGATGGGAATGACAGAAAATGGAGCACTTTTATCCATTGATTTGCTTACACATCAGGTAAATTAAATCCGCAAGGATGTCTTGTTTTATAGGCATCCTTCCTGAGTGTTATACGCCATCCTACCCCTGCACATTTATAAAGAGGGACCAATAAATTACCCCATAAGTTAAAAAAAACAACATGACTTTATTTCCTAATGGATCAAAACATATGAACTGTAGATACAACTGATTATTTTAAAATTTGAGATATGTTGCATGTGGTCTCTGAGTTCTCAGTTGTGTTGGAGGATTCAGATTCCAGAAAGAGCAATTTTCTCTTTTGCAATTAATAAATATGGTTTGTAAGACATGAAATCCCATTTTTTCTCAAACAGATGCAGAAGATAGTGTGCTAGCTGACAAAATTATAGTCTCTGTGGTCAGATTCATTATATATGAGCAGGAATAATTAATTTAAGTAGAAAAATGTATTTTAATGATTCTCCACACAGACACAATGACTTCCACTTACGATTTTTATTGTGTTGCTATTCAGCAGTGCAACGAAGACTTTGTTATATTCATAATACTTTCACTTACATCTTAAGGGAGTTCAAGAACTGCTGTGCTCCTCTTCTACTGTCACTGTAACTAATAAGTGTCCAGTGGACAAATGGCGACACAGAAAACAAAACAGTTTTCACTTTAAGTGTATTGCATAAGAGTGTGTTTGTGCTTGCATAAACTCACAGGAACTGAGGCTTACAGTCTCTCTCTGATGGCTCATCTCTTTCAAGAAGGAGGAACTGAAGTGGGTCCAGTAATTAGCAATGCAAAATAAGCTAGGAAAAGATGGCAGCAGCAAGAGAGGATCAGGAGCATTATGAAATGAAGAGAGAGGTAAAAAGAATAGATAGTAAATTTGAAGACACAAGAACAAAGTTGGGAGAAATGAATTGTGTTTTTCTGGTCACCTGCCATCCCATCAGCCTTTCTCTTTCTCCAGCGTGCAAACACTTTTCTCTCCATGCTTCTTTCTTTTTTTCGACTTCCATCCCCCTCCTCTTTTTGTTTTCTCCCATTTCTCTTCTTTATTCTCTTCAGTTTTGGCTTCACCCTGGATGAATGCCATCATCACTAACAAAGCTAAATAGGTTGGTCTTTAATTTGGAGCTGAACAAGCTGTAGCAGAAAAAAGTGTTTCCGTAAGTATCCCATAGCTGAGATGCTGCTGCTGAAAATGTTCTAGCCTATGCACACACCAGCCTGAAACAGCTGAGTCAGTGACATTAAAGAACCCCTGTGGAATCATAGCGGTTATAGAAAACTGTGCTTGACAAGGAAGCCTTTGAGAGACATCAGTAACAATCCAGCTAGGCCACAGTGCAGCAAAGCATTTAATTGTGCACTCAATACTAAATTCAGGAGTACTCCCCTTAACTTCAGTAGGACTACTCAGATTATACCTTTAGTAACTCATTGACTTGTGCTGTGTAGTGCTACATGAGCACCAAGAAGCTCCACCAAGAGGGAGCTGAGAAGCAGCAGTTACTATATTTACTCAAATCCAAGAGCAGCTCTTTTCTCCCAGTCTACATGTTGGGAAACCTTAGATTCAAGACTGACCTGGGGCATCTGCCACCTGGGAGGCACACAAGGGCTTCAGGGTGGAGGGCATGTGGGTGTTCATAAGTTTCCATATATAGATTCTAATTATGGGAGATATAATCTTAAATTTGACATTGTCTTGGATTCAGGTAAATACAGTATTGACCTATGTATAGCACTGCATTAACATGGTTGCGCTGCTTCCAGCTCAGGAGGTAATGTGCAGAGCAGGTGCGGTATGTCTCAGCACAGCAGCAGTATGTGTTACACCTTCAGATGTCTTACTGGGCTATGTTTTATTGCAGGGGTATCAAACTCATCCAGCCCTGTGGGCCAGATGAGGGGTACAGGACTAGTCCACAGGTGGATCAAGCCTACAAACCAGCCTCATGTGCTGGATCCAGTGCACAGGGCTGGTGTTGCCCCATGTGCTGCATGTGACATACACCCCAGACCAGGCCCATATGCTGCAGGCAGCACACACAGCAGCTTCAGTCTTGCATGTAACACGTGGGATGGGGCCAGTCCAACACCCACAAGCAGCACTACATGCCAAATTGTAGGGCTCCACAGACCAGATACAGCCTACACAGGCTGTATCTTTGACAACTCTGCCTTATTGAATCAGGACCTATGTGCCTTCTAGATAATAGCTCATACTTTCACTTCAGGGCACAAGAGGGAAGGCAACCCAAAGTCTCATTCATTTTTCCGTTTTGTAATGGTACTGGTGCTAATTTAGTTGACAGCGTAGTCAACACACCTTCCATTGTAAAGAACAAAGATGCAGTGTTACTCTGAAGGAAAAGCCTGCTAGAAACACAGTTGTGCAAGCAAATGATCTTGATGCAATACAGGGGGAGAAAAAATAAAAACTTCTTAGAGTAAAAGCACAAATGAGTAAGGCTAAAAATACAGCATTGTGAGTGGATTATCTGGCCAAATAGTTGACCCTTCCATGGTGGAAATTAATAGAACTAAATGACTTTACTGCTACAGATTTTGCACTAGGTTGTCATGACTTTTGTATTATACTACTTAGCCATATACATGTGGTTTCATTACGCAAATTTAAAAAAAAGAAAAAAATTGAGTTAAGAATTATTATATAACAGTTGCATTGCAGTAGTGTCTACAAGCCAGCTGTGTTGGGGTACCACTGAGTTATGCTCTGAATAAGGTTGCAGGAACAACATCTATGCTCAGCTTGTGACAGTGCAAAACATCTACAAATAGTAAGATATCTCTTAAAATAAAACCTAATTAGCAATCCTTACACACAGCAACATTGTATTCCTGTATTCGTGCAGGTTGTCTCTTAAGGAATTTATTAAAATTCAGATCAATTTTTTGCATTGTTTAGTGAATTCTTCTATGAACTCCTCTTGGCTTTGAGAGAGCAAAGCTTTCAAATCTGAATTCTGTTATACCAAGTTGTTAAAAAACTTTAGATGGTAATTAATAGCTGTTCATGTAACTGAACTGACATATTGTTAAATCATCATTCAAGTAAAATTAATATCTTCCTTGATATGATCTACACAGAAAATATCAGAGGAGCCATATTAAAAAGTTCCACATGCAAAATGGTGCCCCAAGAGCAAAACTTTTCAACAGTCATCATATAATTTTCTCATTCCCATTTAATGAGGTAATATTATCCTTCTAAAATTATAGACTGCTCCAGAAATTTGAATGCCTCATTTGATTTACA